ATCCCAGGTTCCATGTCATTTTCCATTTTGAGTCTCCATTCGAGGGATGCAATCCCGAAGCCCCTGAAGTTTAGGGTTTAGGGTTTAGGGTTTACCCTAAACCTCGAACCCCCCAAACCCTAAGCCCCTAAAAACCCTGAACCCCAAACCCCTAAACCCCCTGAACCCCTAAACCCGTAATGCCAAAAGCCTAAATCCCAAACCCTGATCTATGCGCAGGTGACCACGGCGCGTCACAGAGCAGCACGGCCGAGGCTCGTCAGTGTCAGTCAAGAAAACAAATCTGATGCGTTTGGTGTTATAGTCTTCCTTAAGTATATAGAATATGGGGTGCATGGGGCTCTTCTTGTGAGTTTGGTCACTTCCATATTCTATCTACCTAAGGGGGACTATACCTCCTTTAATGGGACTAAGGCACCTAAACCTTACACCCCAAGTCCAAAACCCTTATGTGATTTAAGGCATATTCCGTAGTTGAGGGGTATTGGGATCTCTACCCTAAACGCTAAATCCTGTAGGGCGCAGGGCTCCGTGGATAAAACCAAATCCTTATGAATTTGGGCAAATTTTAGGGATTTAGTGTTTAGGGTTTTGGGTTTTAGGGTTTAGGGTTTAGGGTTAGGGATTTAGGGTTCTGGCTTCTTTTGCAGCAAGAGCATTGCTTACCCGAAGCCCTGAGCCACCTTTGGGATTACAGGAGTATCTCAGATGTTCCACGATTTGGTAACTACAGGGGAGCATTACGGCCTAGTGAAAGTGATCTTTTAAGACCTGAGTCCCAGCTTGCTGGCTGTAAGGACGAAGACTTCATATCTTTGTCTGATGCTATACAGTGGCACAGTCGGCTGTTTGTATGCCTGCCGAAGGCTATCAAAGATGGGGCGGCGTATGGCACGACCCTCCTTGCCAAGTGTGGCGCCTCAGTTTTTCTCAGTAGCCTCTGTGTTCAACTATTGCCTCCTAGGCCTTCACTGCATGGCCATCACTTTTTTTCTCCTCAGCCAGAGGTATAAGGAAGGAGTTTTGGAAATGGGCTTGCTTGCTATGGCCTTTACTAAGCGCAATGGACTGTCACACGGTCACTCCTTCTGTTTCAGCTTGTGCTTTTGCCATCATGAGGTTTACCTACAACGTCCCTATGGCGCTGCTTGACACGCTCTCGTCAGCCTCATCTGTGCTGGGCCAGGCGCAAGATAAAGATCGCGAGGCGCAGGTGCACTGTCAGACTGGCGATTTCGTTTCGAGGCGGTCGTCTTTATAACGGCGCTCTTCTACCTTCTGTCAGCCAAGGACGTGTGCATCCTGCTCCCTCTCCTGCGCCATTTTGAGGTACCATGGGCACGCTATGAGTGAAAGGAGTCCTGCCTGGCAGTTGTGGGGGAGTTCCTGAAGGTGGTGGACCAGAAGCAGGTCTCGGAATGAATTTGGACAGTGCGCCGGCCCAGCGCGTCGCACGCCCCTGCCAGGTCATCTTCCGCATAAGCGAGCGAGTCATGCCGCTTGTCCTTCAGATAGCAACGGTACCACCATACAACCTGCGCTACTTATGTCTTCAGCGCAAATGACTGATACTACTAGACTACCTCTACTGCTACTGTGCCGTGGCTGCTACGCCGCTGGGAGTATTCCTAGTATTCATCAACAAGAGGTGGTAGTTTCCCAAAATAAGGAGAGCCCAAATACAGACCCCACATATTATGATCCTTATTCTTGGGACCCCCAAAGTGGCACCCAATTTTGGGGAAACCCCTCAAGTGATAGCACTTCTAGGTACCCCAGTAATACCCTTTTGCCCTTTTTATTTTGGGGTCTCCTCATTAAAGATGAAGAGTAGGAAAAGGGGTACCCTTATTATCCATGGGTTACTGGGGAACCTAGACTTACTCCTAGCGGCTGAGGCGAGCGGTTCTGGTCTCGGCCATGAAGATGTCAGCGTCTGGACCTTACCGAAGCCGTGGTATCATGAGACAGATGAGCCTGCGGAGTGATCTGGGGTCATATAGGGGTTGTACAGGGATATATAAGGTTATATAAGGGTTATATAGGGACATATAAGGGTTATATGGGGATAATGATAAAGAAAAAGTGAACTACTATAACGGTTGACATAAGGTTTAGGATTTAGGGTTTCTAGATTCTAGATTGGTTCATGTGAGCCAGAGTCTAGACTCCTTAAAGGAGGGCCATGTGGGGGATTCTATAGGCGACTACGTTCGTGGTTATTACGGGGGATAATGGGTTTTTGGATTATAGGTCACGTTACGCTGCACCATTTGCTATTCCATTCTGACCTGTTTGTTTGGCTTTGTTCATGCATTTCAGATATACTAGGCTGCAGTATGGAGTATAATGGATCATCAGCACACCGACATGAAAGACAATATTCATCAGCATAGTGGTGAAGCCCTTTGCCCAGGCCCTAGACCCTAAACCCATCCAAACCTTACTCCCTAAACCCCTAAACCCTAACCCCCTGACCCCGTTACCTTGATCCCTATGAGCCCGAAACCTGCTGAAGGTTCCATGCTCTTTTTACTTGGCTGCTGTATTCCTTCGGCTGCCATCTCAGACCGCACTCCTTTGTTTGGGGTTTTATTGCTAGCAAGGTTGTGATTAGATTTCGTGGGTCACCCCAAAACCCGAAAACCAAAAACGTAAACCCAAAACCCTAAACCCAAAACCCTAGCCCTAGACTCAAAACCCTAAACCCTAAACCCCCTAAATCCCGAGGTTAGCCCGGACCCCACCTTGATCCGAAACATGTGAGCCACCTAGCGCGCCCCGACCAAACGCCCCATATGCAGAACCATCCCAACAATCCACCCCAAAATGCCGACCAGCCTCCCTGTACAAACCTTTTACCCCAAAGGCTATCCCAAGCCTCAACCAGCCTCCACCACTAAGCCCTAAACCCCAAACCCTAACATACTCACATACTTGCATCCCCAATCTGACAGGTTCTGACACACATAGCCCTGAAAACCACTGAGTGTTGTTCGCCAGCCGTTTCAATCCTCATCAACAATAATTGTGCCATACTATACTATACCATATTATACCATACCATACATACTACACTCTACTCTAGTCTACCAGACTGTACTATACATTATTATATTATATTATATTATATTGTATTATATTATATTATATTATATTTTATTTTATTATACTATAGTATAGTATAGGATAGTATACTATAGTATAAAAATATATATTATATTAAATTATATTATATTACAGTATATTATATTAGGATACTAGACTCTATACTATACTATCCTATACCTATAGCATGCTTTTCTGTGCCTTCACATAAACCTGGACTGCACCATCGCCACAAATCGTTTGACCTCAAGCCGATGGTATACTGTAGAGTATGGTATAGAGGACTATGTAGCGGGCAATCTTTACCATACTATACAGTATACTATAGCATATGCTTTAGGGTCTAGGGTTGGGTTGAACGGCAAGAGAATCATGGATTGCCAGAATTGATGTTGGTAGCTTGAGCGCACAGAAGAATCGAGGACACTAAGTCCAAATAAAACAAGTCTTCCAGGCGGCAGTGTTCAGTGAATAACATATCAGTTGCGAATCGTTTTTTCCGACATGTCCATGCTTTCTGCAGTGGATGGCCATGTGTGCAATCTGGCAGTGAACGGACCGTGCATCTACATCGGCCCGACAGCGACTGATGTGGTTCAATACATTGACGTTGACATCCTCGTTGAGGTCAGTACACTAGCCCGCCTCAAAGCAGGTCACGGCGATGAGCTCACTTGGCAGTTGATGTTGTTGGTCACGGCTTCGGCAATGTTAAGCCAAATTTCACAAAATCTCGACACTCAAGATGTTACGAGGATCAATGTGCAGATTTACTGTAGCCTTGGATTGGATTTTGGAGGTCAGTTTTTTGCACAACAAGCTTCTCTACAACGAAAGATAATTTCCAAATCGCATAGCCTAAGCCCCTGTTTCGGAAGTTTCTTCCACTTTCCCAGCTGAGGTCCCACGGGACCAGGAAGCACGCGTTTTCTGGTTCCGGATGGGGTACATTGGTTCAGGCATTTGAGGGCCCACTGTTCCCATGCACAAGGAACAGGGGACCACGTGGCCCAAAGCCCCGCCAGCGGCTTGTCACCGCTGCGCTTCGGCAAGGGCCAAGTAGCAACTTGCTCGAACAATGGCTGTAGGCTGCGTAGTCTTTGACGCGCGCCCTTTTTTTATGAGAGCAGGTGGCTGTTTGGCCTGGGTTTTCGAAACCAGATATTTTCCTGTTCTTGATGTCCATCCATATATATATATATATTTAAAAGAGAGACAGGATCCATAGTCCAATAAGAGCTTCATGGTATAAATCATAGGGATTCAGAACATATCTTCGTTTAAAGGCTCATGTTAACATTGCACAATTAACATGCTATGGAGCCAGCATATGCTAAGCAATACACATCAGAACTATATGAAACCCGTACTTAGAAGCCTATGTGCATAATCCTAGGATTTACTATGGGGCCTGTGTAAATTCAGCCGATGCATGAGCAAATACATACCATAACTATATGAAAGCCCTGCAAAACATCGAAAATACCTATATAAGAACGCAGGCCCCGCAGCCACCTCTTGTTTTTTAAACCATGTCCCTGCAAGCGGGACTGGCTATTGTAAGGAGGTCCTTGCCAACGGCCGGCTCAAAGACTCGAGCGGCCTGGCCCCAACAATCATGGGCAAAGTCCGCATGCTGGCCAGCCAGTGGCTCAGCTGTCAGCGTGCGCGTTGCTGGCTAATTATCGAAGCCGACAGCGCTGCCCTAGGGCACGGACGGGGCAATCACAGAACACCTTCCCTGGGATCTTGTAAGTGTGATGGTCAAGGCACAAAAGTTCCTTCTTGGAAGCTTGAAGAACGTAATGAACATTGCTTTTGGCGTTGTAGCAAATGCCGAAAGACTTTGTCCGTTACAAGCAGAGATTCAGACGTGTTCGATGCCCGAGTTGGCTTGAAGTCAATTGCACGAGCACTTTGGATATACTGTTCAAACTTGCTTTTGTCTGCCGATCAAGCCAGCCTTTTGCTTGGCATTGGAAATCGCGCGACAGAAGCCTTGTGACCAAACAGACAAAAACAGACGCAATGACATGGAAACTGGGCTGATATTGGGGTTTACAGGTGTTTGTAGAAACCATGTACGGAATAACGAACCCGAGTACATCCAGCTTATCCAACTCATATCAGGTAGTCTTTTCTGGTTACCCTAATAGATGATGCCAGCGCTTCGTTCTATGCCTGGCTATTTCAGGTATATACTTACATATTTAAGGAGCTTTGGCTCCTCGAAGACACATACGCAAGACATCAAGACTTTTGACATCATAGAGAGTCGCTACGCTTGGGAGTTTCTCGTTGCATGTGTGCACTCATGTATGTTTTTTGCTTGTGTGATTAGGGAGCTTTGCAAGCTTGATGCTTTGCCTCTTATTATGCACTTTACGCTGTTGCTTCCGCATTGGGAATACTGTGATCTATGTTTGTATGCTTGTAACTCGCTTTGCTTCTTTGCTTTGACCCTGTCCTCCAATTTGGGAGGATGGGTCCAACGCAGATCCCAGCTCTCTCGCCAAGAAAAAAGGAGTGAAAGTCCGCAGTTCGCTTTGTCTTAGTTGCTGCAGTTTTAGCTTTGTCTAGTGAAAGCAATGAACGATATGGAAGGCCCTTATCATTTTAAGGATATACAGTGATTACAAAGGGATTATGGCAGTCTTAACCCCGGATTTGATAGGGACAGTTTGAGAAATCCCCAATAGTTCAAATCTTGAATCTGCCAGCATGTTTGACACGGAAGCGAGTGGAAAAATGTAGCGCTGTCATGCCGATGAAACCTTCGGAGGTTTTGTTCTGATTTCCAACTGGCAGCCACACCGCCTCAATTCAACAACAATTGGGATTGTGCAAAGGTAATGGCACAGACACTGGAAATTGCTATTTAGGGTTTGGGGGATAGTTACATCACCTCCCAGGAATAGAAAATCAAATGAACAAGCAAATGCAAAATGCAACGGAACCCTGAAGGCTTTTACCCGAAGAATGCATCATCACACGGAAATGGAGACTGTGGTCGCATAGCCTTGTAGACACCAAACCTTGAAACCTAAGCCCTAAAACCTAAACCCTGGACTAAGGTAATCTACCTGTTGTGGTCGTCCCAACTGTGCTCTCTGCTGTCCTGGCGTTAGTGCCAAAGGACGGGAGTGCACGGCTTAGAGTCCCCCGTAAGTGGCGGGTTTGGAGTTTTAAAGGGGTAAGGTTTTAAGGTTTAAATTTTAAGGTATATTGGGATTAGGGTTCCCCTTAGGTAGAAGGCTTGGAGTTCAAAGTTCAAGGTTTAGGGCTTAGTGTATATTGGGATCTTATTGTGATATTGGGCAATTCCTCGTTCGTTCTGTTTAAGGGAGACTATAAGGTCTAGGCACACTTCAGCTGAGTTGTCTGTCAAATGAGACGTGAAGTCTGCAGCTTGAGTTAGCCACGTGGTTTAGGGTTTAGGGTTTGTTAAGCGAGGTTTGTGCTCTAGGGTTTCGGGTCCCAAATAGCCGAATAATGCGATGTGTTCCATGGATTAAAGAAGCCAAGCCCAAAAGTACAAAGTTTAAGGGTAAAAAGGAAAGCTCCCTAAGTGTGGGTATGCAATTTGGTGTGATCAGCGCTAAGGAGTACAGGGCTGAATGAATCAATCCATTTTGGATTCTAGGATTGAGTTTAGCGTTACGAGGCTTGATTGTGGTGATTGTTGAGGGACATACGTACGTGAATCAGCAACAGAACACAATCAAGGCATGAGGGTTTCAGGAAATTAGGGATCCTTTTTTTGGAGGCTTCATAATAATGCTGCTAAGAACAATATGAAAGATTATAACGCTTTGTGGCCCATTGCGGGGCCCCCCTACGTATGGAAACTACCATATCCGCTCGCTTTGATTCAGCATCTTTGGGTTGCTTTCTGAAACAGTTTTTGAAGGGACTTTACTGGGAACCCCAAACAGGGAACCCCAAGAGTATACGTAGTAGGAATATAATAGGAATATACTTACCAGGGTCCTTATATTCCATTATATTCCTATTATATTCTTGGGGTTCCCTGTTTGGGGTTCCCAGTAAAGTCCCTTTAGTTTCAAGATAGGAGCATTAGTCCATAGCGAGGCAACAGCAAAGGCAGCGCGTTTGAGTTCTTCGCCCGGGTGTGTGGAGCTAGTGCAATGTTTTGCACTGCCTTCATAATGGGGTACATGGGGATTTACAGGTATGATATTTAGGAGCAACGGAGAACCAAATTGGACACGAACACAGGAAATGAAATGCACACCCTAGGCCTTTTCAAAGGGGGTATATTGATACACAGAAATAATGCCCCAACAATGCAGAATCAAGTCGAAGACACATGTACCTGACATGGAAGCTACACCATAAACCCTAAACCCTGCAAACCCTAAACCCTAGACCCTATCCTGCAGTAATGTGGTGTTACAGAAAATATCCTCCAAAGAACATGATTTCAAGATGAGCCCTCAAGCGGAAACCCCCCTCTGACTCGCCGGGAGTGCCTCAGGGTTTAGGGTTTAGGGGTTTAGAGTTTGGGGGTTGAGAGTTGATTGTTTAGGGTTTAGGGGTTTCGGGTTCAGGGCATGCGGGTTTTGGGATTTAGGGTTTTCTTTCTGAGAAACCCTCATGTCAGGATTTGAATGCAACAAGTTGGCCGGCATGCGTTTGACGTAGCTTTGCATGCCTCGGTGGGTGTGCCTCTAAATCTGGGCTTGTGGAGCCTTGAAATTTCGCAGTGAAGTCGAAATTTTCAAACACCAGGGCTTACCTCATTTCTGGAAACTACTAAGACTAACACATGAAGATCCTCACCTTTTTCTGGCGCAGGTATCGCCAGTTTGGAGTGTGTCGGTTTGGGCGGCCGTGTATCTTTGGTGGCAGGGTGAAAAGGCCAGATCTGCACGGGGTAATCCCCTCCCCCCTGATATTAAGCTCCCCTACCCCCCTTAATATTAAATACTCCTATTATGTGGTATATTAGAATATTTTGAGAGTATTTAATATCAGGGGGGGGAGGGTGGGAGGGTTTAATATCGGGGCAGGGGGATTACTGTCGATTCAGACCTTCATCTTGGGAAGAGTGTAGCTGCCACTGCAGTGATACCGCGGTTGGGGGTCTAGGGTTTAGGGGTAGTTTGGGGTTTAGAAAATCCTGTCATTCAACTTTTCAAATGCTATGTTGAGTGCCAGTGCGATTCTCAGATTCCCTTTCAATCCACTCCGAGCACATGCTTTGTGCAGGCCTGGGCAATTGTGTACGGCGCCCTGAACTTTGCCGTATGGTTCCAGGTGGCAGCCTCAACGCAAGAGAACATTGTTTAGGGTTTAGGGTCCCCGACCCCACGACGAAGAAACTGTGGATCCTTTGATGTGAAGAGGACCCTGCACTCAGCATCATGATAGCCAGAAAGCCACATGCAGGTAGACAGAGATTGAAACAAACTGCCAGCCGAAGGTTCCGACGGTCATTTACGCTGAGATTCCTGAGGCATGACATGCGTCCGCGATGTGCCCCTAAACCCTAAGTTTCTCAACGTAGGGTACCCCAGGGACCTCTGGGGTGTACAGGGATTTGCCGTTTTGGGTTCCCGCAAGCACACCTTGCTTGTAGGGGGAGTCTTGAGACCCACCTACAGTCGTGCAGGAAAGCCTGCTGTGCATAGCGTAGCTAATGCCAGCTGCTCCTAAAAAGATGCATACTGAATGCTAGCCCTTTTACTCGTAGCTGTGATGATAGGAATCAATGACAACATGAATTGACAAACAGATAACAACACGGACTAGCACATTTGCCAGTAGTGCCAGTCAGTAATACTACTCAAAGCAGTACTGATGCCTGAGAGTTTTCTCAATGGCAAGAGTACAGTAAGACCACTCTCTAGACGCCAAATCGTGTGCAAATTGTGGCATGACAGTAGCTACAATCCTGAAACCCTAAACCCCAAAACACTAAACCCATGTACCCCCTGTGCATCTAATTTCCAACCGTAAAACTCTCAAACCCAAAGCCCTAACACCTAAACCCTAAACCCTAAAATCTAAAATCCTAACTAAACCTTAACCCCCCCCCAACCCCTATTTGCCCGCGCCATTAAATGCCCGCTCATCGGAATGTGCTGCGTATAGCAGTGTTTTTGTGGTTGTGGATGTGGTCGAAGTGAACGTTATTATGGGTGCTGGCATGTATTCACTTGTTGTGGATGTGGTCGAAATGAACGTTATCATGGGTGCCGGCATGCATTCGCTAGTATCTTGTTTTGCTGTAAATAACAGTAATCTTGCAGTTGCGGAAGTTTTTACACGGATGCTATGACCTTGGATGCACACGTAGCATGAAGATGCTCCGGGCAAATAGGGGGAGGGGGTGGGAACCTTAAGCACCAGAAAACCCTAAAACCTAAACCCTTGAACCCTAAAACCTTAACCAAACCTTAAGCACCAGTAAGTCACTGGTCAGTCTAACGCCTGGCTCACGGGCCTTGGCGTAGTGCTGGGAGTCGGCCAGCGCGGGCGCCCGGGGGTTTAGGGGGGTTTTGTGGTTTGGTGGTTTAGGGATTTTGGGTTTAGGGTTTAGCTTTCAGGGTTTAGGGTTTAAGGTTTAGGGTTTGGGGCGGTTTGCTGGGTTTAGGGTTGAGGGGCTTGGGGTTTCGAGGTTTAGGGTCAGTTTCCTAGTTTGCCAAGTTTCTGCTATCTATAGACCTCAGACCCAGCTCAAATTTACTTTCACCGGGTTGGGATTTTGGGGTTTGGGTTGGTATAAATAGAGACATACCAGAATATCCAGGGATGTGTATATAGGAGTGCGTTGTAGCCTTATCTCAGGCTTGGCATTAGAGGTTTGCAAGACGAGGATTGAGGGGTTTGGGAATTGGACTTGTGACCCTGCAGGCTCATGTCAGTAATTTAGTAGTAGCTTCCATTTTATTTTCCATTATCCCCAATATTACCCCAATATTACCCCAATATTACCCCAATATTACCCTATAGTAGTTAAATTGTGGGTTTTGGGTTGGGAGGAAATCGCTTGATAGGGCTTAGGGTTTTGGGTTTAGGAAGGCTTCATGGTTACAGGGTCAGGGGCGGAGTTGTTAGTTAGAGGAGGATAGTTTAGGATTTAGGGTTTGGTTTAGGGTTTAGGGTTTAGGGGAGTCGAATCACCAAGACTTGATGTCCATAAGATCTCCCTGTTGGACGAAGCATGTGAAGTATAGTCTACATTCCTTCAAGGGGGGTTGTATAGGGGATTATATAGGGAGGTATAATAGGGGTTACTCCTGGGGATACTAGGAGTTTAGACTATAGCTCATGTACTCTGATGGTACTTGGCTGTACCATTGCGGAGCCCACAGCTTTTTCAAAACTGACGTCTTCCAGCTCGGCCTTGGGCCCTACACGCTAAGCCCCCTAAACCCTATATCCTAAACCCTAAGCCCTTAACCCATAGCAACAAAAGGAGCGCCTGAAAAAAAATAACCCTAAGCAACAAAGGAAAAAGGTCCAGTTAAAACAACAATAGGTTTGGCCTTGCCGGGGTTGTCCTCGGCCCATTGCTGGCTTCGGCCCTGCTCTCAGTTCATCAGTAACCCTATGACTTAGACATGCTTAGTATGGAATAAAGGACTAGAATCCCTACATAATCCCTACATCATATATTCCCTGATTTTCCTTGCTAACCGCTAGTAAGTAACGGTTATATAGGGATTCTATTCCCTTATTCCCTACTAAGCACCAGTAAGTATTGAGGTAGATGGACGAAGTCCTGCTCCGCCAAGACGCACCCAAATGCTATAATTCCCAGGGTTTAGGGCCTAGGGTGTAGTGTAACGCCCAAAGTGGTACTCTGGGGGTTTGGGGTTTTAGGATGGATTTAGGGTTTAGGGTTCAGGGTGTAGAGCAGTGCCTTGAAAGTTATGCAAGGTTTCCTCCATCCGCGCCCAGCATCTCTTGTAAGCATAGTGACTGCCTTACTGTCGATCCCAGTGATATTCCTTGAGTAGTTACCACATATATGTATATGTGTATTATATATACATATATGTATACACACACGCATATACATAAATACATATGCACATATATATATATATATCCCTGTTACAGTGCCCAGCTTCATTCCCTCTGGGTATCCTAACTTCTTCTGCTACTACGGGCTGTACCGAGTTTCGCAGGTTCCTTTGATTTGCTTCAACCTTGTGAAATTGTCGCTGCCTTGGCTTCCTAGATCCCAGGCAGGATCTAGAACACAAATCCCCCTTAGGGGTCCTAGAAAACGCAGTTTAGGGTTTAAGGTTTGTGGCATAGGGTGTAGGACTAAAATACCCAATAGTAGTTATTAGATGGCATCATATATGGTAACTTCCCAAAATAAGGGGAACTGCTGAGCTGCAGGTGCCC